ACTCGCGGCTCCCGGCGTTGTCTCGTAACTCAGGTGGCTAGAGCGTTGACTGTGTTGGAGCCTTCCCTTTACTACTGTGGGTTCGTATCACAAACGACGGTCGGAGAGCCAAAGCGGCGAAAGAAGAAAAAAATCGGTCAACTCAAGGTCAACTAGTTCGGCCGTTTGTTAAAAATTCTGGTTGATTTTTAGCACAAAGGGCTTTGATAATGGAGAGCCAGCCAAGCCCTCCGAAACGTCAGCCACTGAAGTCCAGTGACCCGGTGAGCCCTTCATATTTCTCAGAATGTCGATCCGGATCTCTTACATTCCCAACCTGACATTATACACCCCCCCCCTCTCATGTGCGGTAGTAGTTATGAGATGCGTGGACTATGCAGCTCGATTAACGCCTGTGTAGCCACTAAGCGGACAGAGTGTATACTCGGTGCGCTGCAATCATCAGGCAAATGCCAAGTTGTAAGAGAGCAGGAGGCATCAGAATGAAGGGTTTATTGTGCACAGAACCCGGAGCTGTCCTCTCAGGCGGCAATGGCCACTGGCGAAGACAGGGGTGGTGTTGCCTGCATCCAGTCATGTATGGGAGTCTCTGCGACAATGGCTGCAGCGTCTTTTGTAGGACCGTGAGACAATCTGAAGGGGTGTCCAGTCGGTGTGTTGCTTTTGTCGAGGGATGGTGTCCCAATGGCTTATGTTGCCGGTTGCGGGGGGGGGGCGGCGCATTCAAATGGCGCATGGTCAGTTGTAACTGTGTGAACGCACGTGCGTCCGAGTTGAAATCGGCCGATTGGCCGCAGGCCAGTGCGTCTGGAACTGCTCGCTGCAAGGGCTGAATGACCTTGAGGCAGCGAGGCCTTTGACGATGACGCCAGACCGGCCATGATGGCTGCCTGCAACACGTGCCCTAGGCCCCCCGAGGCCTGTTGTGGGGGGGGGACACACTTACACCACAACACGCATACACGCCACCCACCTAACACCGTGCCCCCTTCTGCAGCAAGTATGCTATCCAATTTGCTATTTCGACTATGGCGGAGGGAGCGTTGCATTTCAGAACATATACATTTCACTTACGTGGGAAGCATCTCCATTGATGCAGCCTGGCACGCGTGGTGATGACCACATTTCGTGTGTGGCATAGGTATACGAGCTGTTTAGCCAATCCCATCATCGGCTGGCAGAGAGGCTCGAACAGTCGCCTGACTCATGAGAGGGGAAGAGAGAGAGTAAGACCTGTGTTGGGAAATTCATCCGCACGGCACACCAACACATTCCGTACAATAATAATAATAATAATAATAATAATAATAATAATCAAGCGCCTGTATCTACCATGACGCCTTAAGCGTCGTAGCTTGGAGGATTGCCAACTGGCAGGATGACTCCGTCCTCACGAAAGTCTTTTTGAGTGACTTGAGGACTAAGAGTCAGACTTCAATGGCTCCTACCCAATATTGCGTTCATGGCACTCAATCATGCTAGACCCGAGCCGCCTTTACATAGGCCTCGTACATGTAGTGCGAAGCAGATCTCGTGAGTCACGTGCAGGCACGCAGTGAAGGTTGTCTCTTGTGCAGTCAGACTGACGTGTTTTTACGGCATCGGATTTGCCAACTTCATTCGCTCCCCTTCACCTTGAGAGGAGAACGGAAACTAGAAGTTCACTGATTACCGTCTTACGTTGGCTGACCGTGTCAAACTACGTTCCAGTGGTGTGTGATGTTGGATCTATGGTGACAGTTCGCAGGGTGAGAGAGAGAGAATGTGTTCCGACACTTTGGAGCACTCTACAGTCACAGGAATTAGATATCTATGCGCCCTAACGAGATTGGATAAGTCCGAAAAAAAAAGGCTGCCAATAAACAGTCCGCAGTGGACGACGATAACGAGTTGCCCAAATTAAAAGCAAGGGGACAGGACTTATAGGACAGAGATTATTGTGACAGGGAGCAAATGGGCAGCGTTGTCCGCTGTCGAGTACGCCGTGTGTGTATGCTTGGCCTTGGCGTGACCAATCAGAACGCCCGCACTCCACTGAGCGAGCGCGCCGAGCCTGTAACCAGTGCCAGCGTCAATAGGCATGCGCGAGGCCGTCAGACAAAAACGGTACGACGGCACTCTGACGCAAGTCGAGGTACGCTGGGAGGCTTGAAGCAGACCGGCGTGCGAACTGTGACCGTTGGACGCAGGGAGCGAGATGCGACACTGCTGCAGCCTGAGCAGAAGATGGCTCAAACAGATTGTACACCGAAAAATTCTAGGATCAAGACCAGTAGGCGCTTTAGAATGGAAACCATTTGCAATAATTTTCCTTGCAGAAGAAAAGGTGGCGAGCGAACGTTGCTTTCGATAACTTCTCATCATGCCAGGACAGTTATATGGGACGGGGTACAGTTAGTAAAAAAATCGATAAAAATAAGTTTTTTTAAATATAGGCTAGGCAAGAGCGGAAGGGCGCAGAAAGTTGTAAGTGGTTAGTCAACCTTCCACCACGGTAAGCGCGGAGCCTGAACGAGGTTCTTCTGGGCGCATAGGGTCGGTTTTCGTAACCTGATGGCGGCCGCTTCTGCTATTGCTAACAGGCGCCGGCCCAGTAGTTTAGGGTAGCTCGAGGGGACCTCATATATCACACGAAATGCTTCATCGGGGTCCACACGATGCCCAGAATCCACTGCATGCGCAAGGACGGCGCTGTATATTCTCCTAGTTTCACCCTTTGTCAGCCATGCGGGCAGGTGCTCACGTATTTTTTTGAAAAGGCGCAGACTCGTACGACCAATATGACCTGCTCCACATCAGAAAGTGAATGAGTATATGCACATTGAGGCGGTCTGAGGTGGCAGTCTATCCTTGTCTTCTCTGCCTAAAATAGGGTTAGTAGAGAATGATATGCGTACCCTTGCTGCTGGGAAGATTCCCGAGACAGCTTAGTCAAGGCTTCTTCTTAGGAGTTCACTTGCAGCGTCTCCTTGGAAAGGGACTTTGAGGAACAACGTTTTCTTTTCAGCGATCAGTGTGGTGGGTTTTGCGGGTCGTTCGACAAGGTTCTTTGCAATGAACCTGTCAGGATACCCGTTTGCGCGAAGCAAGTCCTGGGTTTTTCCGAGTTTCTCCTCGATACTATCTGTTGAACAGATTTTTCTAGCCCTTTGTGCCAACCACCTGAGTAGGTTTCGTTTCTGTTGGAGAGGTACGAAACTAGCGAAGTTCGTGTATAGTCCAGACGAGGTTTTCTTCCGATAGACGCTCCTTCGGATGCTACCATCAGATATCCTGTTTAGAAGGGCATCTAAGAAAGGAATCGAACCGGCCGATTCCATCTCCAACGTGAATTTGATCGATGGATGTGCTCGGTTTACAGCATTTAGAAGGACAGCAACGTCGGTTTCTGTGGTTGCAATCGCAAAGATATCATCAACGTAGCGATCGTAATGTTTAAGCTTTTTGATCTGATCGCTTAGTTAAAATCTCTCCAGCTTGCCCATGAAGACGTCGGTTAAGAGAGGTCCAAGAGGCGAGGTCTTGCGTCAAACTAGGAACGTAGTCTTACAAATGGTGTCCTTCAACAAACTGCAACCTCCTATTTTTCAACAAACCTCAGACATGTATCAAAGGGTCAAGTCTTTTACCTTCAAAAATGGTCAATTCTAACTTGAGAAGTTAAGTAAATCGGGTTTTCACCAATGACTGTGGTCATGCCATAAAGTATATCTCAGTCGGTATTGGTGGAAAAAATTGTTCTACTATGGAATGAAAGATTCTGAACAGGAGACGCTCACGGGGATACGATTATTTTTTTTTATCTGCCGTTGAAAGACGGTCGACTTGACCGTTAACCATCGGGTACCAGCGAGCGAGGCGAATTAAGCACAACTCGACAGACTCCTCTCCACATCTAAAAAGTCTAAAAGGTCAGTTAGGCTGTTTCAAATTATTAAATACCCCCATAAATTACCGTTTAAAAAATGACATGCGGAAATTTGCATTCGTTGCGGACCGTGACTTTGTTGTTTAGATGAGACCAGTTTTTTTTTTTTTTGAGAGAGAGAGAGAGAGGACTGCTTTATTTTGAAAATAACTTTCAAAACTTTCAGCAAAAACGGTTCTCCAGTACACAGTGATTACCATACAGATTAACAGGTTTTGGGGGGTGTAGGGGTGTCAGCGGTGGGTTCACGTAATGGTCGTGGTGGTCGCTCACTTGCTTGCAGGTGAGACTGCGCCTAGCGTCCACTTGCTGGCACTCAACTCTCACCTGTGGCTCCACGTAGCTGGGCTCTGCTCAGCGGCCACACCCCGGGCAACCGTCTCGACCGGCGGGCTAAACCAGGTGAGGGGGCCCTGTGCGCTGTGCCGTGTGCACAGGGTTTGCGGATTCCGCTGGATGGAAGGTCGGATGGAACCTTGCGTCGGCACCGTCGTGACGTGGTTCGTCTCTGCACGTCGCTCGACAGCCGGTGACGGGATAGATCTCCACATCGACACCGCCTTGACGCGCCCACCTTCGCCGACGGAGACCGCGGCTTACGGCGAATTCGAGTCGCTCTCCACTACAACCCGAAGTCGTGGTCCCATAGTGGAGTTCGGCCGTGCCACAACAGCACATGGCAGCCCTATTCAGGGATGGCACTGCCAGCCCCCACGAGGGGAAGGGCCTAGAAAAGGTGGCCTAAACATTGCTGGGTACCACGCCGTCTCCAGGCTAGCCAGGGCCGCAGACGTCTAAACATGGTCGAAACAATCAAAATCGAAACAACAACAACAATACCAATAACAACAACAACAACCATACTCCTTCTCCTCATCCTACCTCTTCTTCCTCTACCTCCGTCTATTCTTCTGCCTATTCTTCTCCTTCGTCATCTTCTTCTCCATCTCCTTCCCGTCGCCCCACTCGTTGTCACCAGACTGGCAGGGTGAGCGCGCTCACTCTGGCAGCCTGGAATGTTCGTCCCCTTTTAGACAATCCGAGGAGCAACCGACCGGAACGGAGGACGGCGCTAGTGGCACGAGAACTGGCGCGCTACAAGGTGGACATCGCCGCACTCAGCGAGACCCGTTTCTCCGAACAAGGCCAACTGGAGTAGGTAGGTGCCGGCTACACCTTCTTCTGGAGCGGTCGACCCAGGGCAGAGCGACGAGACGCGGGCGTCGCCTTCGCCATTCGGAACGACATCGTGGGACGACTGCCCTGTTTGCCGCAGGGCATCAACGATCGCCTGATGAGCCTCCGCCTGCCTCTCTGGGGAGGCAAATTCGCCACCATCATCAGCGCCTACGCTCCGACGATGACCAACCCCGACGCCGTCAGAGACAAATTCTACGAGGACCTGCACGCCCTCTTGGCGACTGTGTCGAAGGCGGACAAGTTGATTGTCCTTGGTGACTTCAACGCCCGCGTCGACACAGACCATACTGCCTGGAGGGGAGTGCTGGGTCCTCATGGTCTCCGCGGCTCCAACGACAACGGCCTGCTGCTCCTCCGCACCTGCGCAGAACACCGCCTCATCCTGACGAACACGTTCTTCTGTCTGCCGGAGCGAGAGAAGGCCACCTGGAGGCATCCTCGGTCGCGTCAGTGGTACCTGCTGGACTATGTCCTCGTCCGGAGGCGAGATCAGCGGGACGTGGTGGTGACGAAGGCGATCGCGGGTGCTGACGGGTGGACCGACCATCGCCTCGTCATCTCGAAGATGCGTATTCGCCTACAGCCTCGCAGGAGACCACAAGGTAAGCGACCCCCAGGTAAGCTGAATGTTGCCTTGTTGTCTTTGCCCGCTCACCATCTCCATTTCAGCAATGAGCTAGCTCAACGGCTAGACAACCTTCCTATCGCTGCCGCCGACGACGCCGCCGCTGCCG